ACCCAATGAATGAAGTTCTTAACGACCCCCACGGAGCCAAGAAAGTCCATTAGAGGACCATCGCAAAGGAGACGTACTCCTCCGCCGCCTCACAAGGGGCACTCCAGCTGTGGCCCTACTCGTGCAGAACGTAGCCGGCCGATTCCAGTGCGTAGTGAAAGGGCTAGCATTCGGACGGATAACCTCTGAACAAATAACCTACAAGAGGCTTCCCATAAAAGGCAAAGGACCATCAGTCGCCTATCAGAAACTCTTCCTTACCACCATGATGAGCGGCCACACGATCTGAGAAGTTGGCTGAACGACAACAGAGAAGAGGAACGACAACTATGCAAGGAAGAGAAGCATCAACAAGATATGGAAGAGGAGCGCTGGCTTGACAGGGAGAGGAACCACTTGGACCGGTCTGTATACCAACGAGAGCGTCGCGCTCTGGATCAGTTGGTGGCCACCTCCTTCTTCGCTCTGCCTTGAGATTGAAGCTGTAGAAGCTCCCTTGAAGTACAGTCCGTCGAAATTCATCCTCTATAATGGGTAACGGGGGTCTTAACACATGCCCTAGCCCCATGGTCGTGAATAGGGTGCCAAGTGGTATAGCTTGGTGGAATTTGTGCCAAGTACCATTACTTGAAAGCATGATCCACGGTAACAACTTGCACACAACAAAGAGCCAAGTTACACTCTCCGATAAGTTTCTTTTTCATGTGTTGTCCATATTTCACTCAACAATTGAGCAAGAATGGGTTACGGGTCTTAACCTACACCCCAGCCCGAAAACTCGGCCCTTTGGTCGGAGTAGGGCGCCAAGTGGTATAGCTTGGTGGAAGTTGTGCCAAGTATCATTACTTGAAAGCATGGTCCATGATAATAACTTGCGATTTATGAAGAGCCAAGCTACACTCTCCGATGAGTAAAACTTGCCCAAAATTTTCTAAGACACAAAGCCTAGTCTGTTCGAACAGACTGTCCGCTTGGCCTCGAAGCTTCTACTCGGCTAGGGGCATGCAAAGTTCTTTCCTCAAAATTTTTCTAAGGTACAAAGCCTGGTTTGACCGATGAGACACCCCGTTCGCCTTTAAAATTTCTAATCAACTAGGGGCATGGAAAGTTCCTTTCTCAATTTTTCGAAGGCACGGCACCTGGTCTGACCAATCAGTTGCCCCGTTTGGTCTTGGAGCCTCTACTCGGATAGGGGGCATAAAAAGTTCTTTCTTCAAAATTTTTCTAAGGCATGAAGCTTGGTCTGACGAACGAGATGCCTCACTCAACCTCGGAGCCTTTGCTCGGTCGTGGTATGGAAAGTTTTCTTTCTTAAATTTTCCTGAGACACCATGCTTGGCCTGACCAACCACACACCCCGCTCGCCCTCAGAGCCTCTATTTGGCAAGAGAGCACGGAGCCTAATTTGATCGAGCAGACAACCCTTGTTGCCAAGAATCTTCTGCTCGGCCAGGGGCAAGACAACTAACTTCAGTTAAGGCCAAATGGACAATCTTGCAAGGTTCCCCTATTACTGCTCGACCGGAAGAGCAACTCTACTTTTCAAAGGTATAAGGTGAAGTATGGCCGAACAACCAACAATGTAGGGTTACATCCTTGATGCTCGGTTTGAGGGAAAACAACATAAACATAAAGAAATTGAAAGTGCAAGTTACAAGTCTAACACTTGGCAAATTTCGAAAATACTTCATTAACTTAAAGTTTCATTACAAAAAAAGGAGCTCGGCTTAGCGAAGGTGCTACGAAGCGGAAGAGCTACGAAAAGGGATGAACAACAGAAATTGATTAGACGCTCAACACTTGGTCAAAGCAGCAGAAGTTGGTGATATGCCCAACATTTGGGCCGAACAACAGAAGTTGGCCAGACACCCAATGCTTGGGCCGAGCAACAGAAGTTGGTTAAATGCCTAAAGCTTGGGCCGAGCAACAGAAGTTGGTCGGACGCCCAATGCTCACTCTGAAGTAGATCGAGCAACAAGAGTTGGCTGGACGCCCAACACTTGGGCTGAGCAACAAATGTTGGTTGCACACCCAACGCCTACTCTGAAGCACGCCTCGAGGAACAGAGGTTGGTTGGACACTCAACACCCACTTCCAATTGGGCCAAGCAACAAAAGTTAGTCGAACGTCTAATGCTTGGACAAAACAACAGAGGTTGGTTGGATGTCCAACGCCCACTTTGAAGCGTGCCAAGCAATGGAGGTTGGTTAGACTTTGAACGTCCACTTCGAAGTAGGCCGAGCAACAAAAGTTAGTCAAACGCCCAACGCTTGGGCAGAGCAATAGAAGTTAGTTAGACGCCTAAAGCTTGGGCCGAGCAACAGAAGTTAATTGGATGCCCAACACCCATTCTGAAGTGGGCCGAGCAGCAGAAGTTGGCCGGACGCCCAATGCTCACTCTGAAGTAGACCGAGCAATAAAAGTTGGTCGGATGCCCAATGCCTTGGCCAAGCAATAGAAGTTGGTCAGACGCCCAACGCTTCGACCGAGCAACAGCGGTTGGTTGGATGCCCAATGCCTACTCTTAAGCATGCCGAGCAATGGATGTTAATTGGATGTCCAACACCCATTCCGAATTGGGCCGAGCAACAAAAGTTGGCCGGACACCTAATGCTCACTTTGAAGTGGACCGAGCAACAAAAGTGGGTTGGACGCCCAATGCCTGGGCCGAGCAATAGAAGTTGGTTGGATGCCCGATGCTTGGGCCAAGCAACAAAAGTTAATTGGATGCCCAATGCTTGGGCCAAGCAGCAGAAGTTGGTCAGATGCCCAACGCTTGGGCCGAGCAACAAAAGTTGGTCGGACACCCAACGACTGGGCCGAGCAGCAGAAGTTGGTCTGATACCCAATGCCTAGGCCGAGCAACAAAGGTTGGTTGGACGCCCAACACCCACTCGGAAGCACGCCGAGCAACAGAGGTTGATTGGATACCCAACACCCATTCCGATGTAGGCTGAGCAATGAAAGTTGGTCGGACGCTCAATGTTCACTCTGAAGTGGACCAAGCAACAGTGGTTGATTGGACGCCTAACATCCACTCCAAAATGGACCGAGCAAAGGAAGTGGGTCAAAACTAGCTAAGCAAAACCAAGTTTCATAGCCCGAGTAAACAACAAAAAGATTGACAACAAACAAAGTTGGAAGTGCAACATTCTACCAAATAAATACACTACAAACAACAAGCAAAGGTCGAAGGAGTGCAGTGCCCGACGAGAGTCAATATTATCGAAGTCGATACTATGACTACAACGACTATGTGCTAGACAACTCTCAAGATAAGAGGTGCTAAGGTTGACAGTAGCTTGGTGGTAGAGAAACTGAATTAAAAAATGCAAACTAGCAACGCCAAAGCTGCTAGGGCTAACCAAGCAACTTGGTGTTGAAAAACAAAAACTATGCAAACAAGCTACTACGGCCGACTAACTAAGTGATGGACAATTCTTAAGCTGAAGGTAAAATGACCGACCAATATATGAAGAAACGAGCTGAACAAATAGACGTGCTAATCATGTCCAAACAAGAAAATGGGGCATGATTCGCATGACCGAGCAATGTTAGCAAGCTATTCTTCGAGACCGAACAGAGTGGAGGGGCAGGACTTGGCCAACCAAGCATTGAGACTAACACCAATTTATCTCCTACAAGTAGGACCGAGCAAAAAGATAGTGAATATGTCTTTCAAATTAGAACAAAGCTGTGATAAAGCACAGTTGGCCTACTTTGAAGCGTCGCTGTGTTGCTTAGCCCAGTCGACGAACACTGCAAAAATATATATATATATATATACTATTCTGCATATATATTTTCAAGTCAAGAAACGACGCTCAGCCGACTGAAAGAGCACCAAGCTAGACAATTACGAGGCTAGTGAAGATACACATTTAGTTTGAGGGCACAACTGAGCTTCGAAATATTGGGCAGACGCAAACGTTTGGCCAAACAATAATTTTGAATCCAACTCACGAAGTTCAAATTAAGTTGTGATCAACCAAACTTCGAAGTTTGTGACAGAATTGGCTTCCGCTTCGCCAAAACGTAAGCGCAAGCCAGGGGCAAATGAAGTGGGTAAAAATTAACCAAGTCTCGGTGCTAGGCCCAATGCAATGCTCACTCCGAGGTTAAGCTAGGTTGGACCTCGGCCCTATGGCCAACACTTGCTCCGACGCAAGACAATCATAGGAGCTCGGCCTAATGTTCGAATGTCACTCCAAAGTGGGCCGAGCAACATGGTGGACCTCCTGGACGGGCAGCCAACCACTCCAAAGTAGGTTGAGTAACATGTTGAACCTCTTGGATGGACAGACAATGACTTTGAAGTGGGCTGAGCAACATGTTGAACCTCCTGGTTGGACAACCATTCTAGAGTAGACCAACTCAAAGAAGGCCAATTCGCTGAAGCTCTTTCTTGGGCCCACAAGAGACAAACAACTCTGCTACTCTCCCTCTGTATTAACAGAATGTGGAGACATGGAGGTGCAGAGGGACAACGTGCATATATGACAGACCTGCATCTAAATGACAGGTGGAGTGGTCGTCCTCCTCCAATGAGAGATGACTGCTAATGAGACAAACAAAACAGACGTGCACCTGAGTGTCAGGCGGAGTGATCGTCCTCCTCCAATGGGAGACGACCACGAATAAGACACATTGGACAAATGGCGAAGAGAGAAGGACTTGAACGACAAACAACCTTCTCCTATAAAAGGTAAACACTATTCACTCTCAAGGCATCCGAAAATCAATACACTTAACACATACACACTCTGTATTCTCTCATCTTCCTCTCCCTTAGTCCTTGACTTTATCATCGAAGGGGTTTCCGATTAAACCCCGGTTGGGCAGCCTCACCATTCGGTATTTTTTGCAGATCTTCAATTCCCAAAGCACGTTGTTTATCCATGAAGTTCAACCCTTCTTCACAATCTTTAGTGTTACTGATAGATTCTATCATATATTTAGGCTCCCAAATATCAAAGATATGGTTGGTTTAAGTGTTGATGATGAGCATTGTGATTGAATCTGAGTACCCATGCCGTTGCTTTTCACTAGCTGAGATACAATCAACGACCAACAATTTTAATGAAGAATTAGTCATTGGGATTGGCAGATTTGGTAAGGTACATAAGGGGTTCATCAACAACGGTGCTACACCTGTTGCCATAAAGCGGTTGAATGCAGAGTCCAATCAAGGCGCAGAGGAGTTCTGGAATGAGGTCAAGATGTTGTCTAAGCTCCGACACACTCATCTTGTTGCTCTGATCGGCCAATGCATCGACTGCCAAGAAATGATCCTTGTTTACGAATATATGGCTCGTGGGACCCTAGCTGATCATTTCTATAAAAGAAGTAGAAACCAAACTGAAATTAGTACTTTTCATCTCACATGGGAGCGAAGACTCAACATGTGCATCAGTGCAACACGAGGGTTAGACTACCTTCATACTGGTACCGATCAAAATTTCATACACCAAGATGTGAAGACCACAAATACTCTGTTAAATGGGAAATGGGTAGTCAAGATTTCAGATTTTGGGCTATCTAAGGGCACTGCGAGCCATTCTGCAACCCACGTTAGTACGAGAGTTAAAGGTACATTTGGATATTTCGATCCGGATTATTTCTATACCCAGAAACTAACCAATAAATTTTATGTGTATCCCTTTGGTGTGGTGTTGTTGGAAGTGCTCTATGGGAGGCTGCTAGTGGATAAAAGACTCAAGGAGGAGGAAATTAGTTTAATCCTTTGGGCTCAACGACACATTAAAAAGGGAACATTGATCCCTCATTGATTGGGCAAATAACACCACAAAGTCTAAAGTACTTTGTAGAAGTAGCCTACAATTGTTTACATATTGGTTCAATGGAAAGGCCTATAATGGCTAAAGTGGTGGGGACTATTGATCTTGAATTGTTGTCCTAACGTAGCAATGAATGGCTATTTACAATGTAGCAATGAATGACTATTTATAGATAAACATTTGTAGGAAAAAATTATCTAAAACTACCCACTATTCCACCTCCATTTCATACTCCACGATCTTCCATAATTTCCTTCAAACTCCACTTCATGCTCCATGCTCTCCACTTTGTTCTCCATCATCTTTCCACATTTCATAACCTCCAAATAAGTAGGAGGGTGTCATATATCCTACAATTATATAAATAATAAATAATAAAATTGAAAATTTATGGTGCCAACAGTTTTCTTTGTAAGGTTGGAATTTTTTTAAAAGTACTTATTAATATTATTATATTTTCAATCTAACACTTTTAGATTCTTAATTTTTATAAAATTAAATCTTAATTATTTAAAAATTCAATCTAAAATCTATATAAATAAATAATAAGAAAAAAATCAAGAGGATCTCATTATTATAGATTATTTTGGAAAAATAGTTAAAAGTTATCTTTTAACTTTTAATTTATCTTGGGTCATATTATCTTTTTATCTTTTTACATATTTTTTTTTAAAAAGACAAAAAGTACACTCTTTTAAGACACCCCAAAACAACCCTAAATTAATAAAGTGTAAGATTTACGAGTGAAATGAATTTAAACAATTAATTGTTGTTTCCAGATGAATTCTAGAAAGATAATTCTAGATTTATAATATTACTATTTTGAAAACTGACAGCTGATTACTGTTTTTGAAAAATGTCAATGACTTCATGTTGCTTTAATGTTTGAAAAATGATGCATTTTTGTTGATATTCGATGTATTGAACAAATTATGAATGATTAGGTTGGGGTTACATGACAAAACTCCATTAATCAATTTTACAATAGATATTAATTGAAGAGTCACGTTACAACTTAGGGTTGGTTTGGGGTGTCTTAAAAAAGTGTATTTTTTGTCTTTTTAGTAATTACAACTAGTGATACAAATACAATTTTCAATTTAATTAATTACATTGTGTTTGACTGGGCTTTAATTAATTGCCCAAGTGGCTTTTCTTTTCACCACACATTCCATGAGAACCAAACATGGCATAACAACAACGCACACAATTTTTGGATTAGATATATATGGGGAAGGATCTTTCATCAGTCGAATTCCTGTTATGTGCAAATCCTATGGATCTATCTATACATTTATTAAAGACTCGAAGAAGACGTTGTCCTCTAGTGATTTGTTTTAAATTCTTGTTTTATTGAATAAATAATTCAACACAATAGGTGGTTTTTTTTTTAGTGGGCGGCGAGTTGGAGAGATAATAATAATGTTTGAGGCTCATATTTTATACTCATAAATATATTTATAAGAGTGATCGGTCTCATATCATTAAATATTTAACTAATTAAAAATTGATACTTGTCAGATTATATCACTATAAAATAAATTGTGAAAAAATTATAAAGATCTCCACCACTTTCCGGAAATAAAATAGGCATGTGGGACTTTGCTTTGACTAGTCCTCTAATACATACAATCCTTTCTCTTATATATACCCGATAATTATTGGAGACTTGTCCTGGTTAGATTGAGATCCGTCGACATGAACCTATCTTATGATGTAGTGGTGGCTATAGTGTCAAGTAAGATATATTGAGAATTAAATAATTCATTGTGAATTATTTAAAATAATTATAAAAAAAAAACAACAACAACAACAAACAAACAAACAAATAGGTCACATAAAACTACACGTAAGATGAAGAAAAATTACATTTGTATTGATAAGACTCAAACTCAAGTTTCACACCGATAGTTTTTATTTTTAAAATAAGAATTTCATTTATAAGTAGGGAAAATATATTTAAAAAAAAAAAACCCGAGTACAAAAGAGATAATAACAACATATAAGAACAATCTCAAGTTCCAAAGTCAAGATTATTTAAAATGATTTGTCTTAAAGTGACCCTAAACTAATTTTTTGTATTGTTGTTGTACCTCTAATTTTTGTAAAATTAAATTTCAACCAATCAGAAAATTAAATTAAAATCATTTTTTTAAAAATTACTCTAGAAGATCCAGATTTGCTGATTGGGAGGACATTTGCTCGAAACAGAAAATTGAGGCTGTAACAGAACTTCAACATGTTCGGCTTGTTGCATAGAAGTGTTGAATGCCTTGGTAGCTGAAATAGAATAGGATGATTGTGCTTGCTTTTTATCTAGGAAAGACAGGCCTATCCAAAATTAGCTAACTTAACAATGCATATAAGCCGGTCTGGCATGGAAAATACAATAAGGCCACGTTTATTTGACGTAACAAGTTGGATGATATTGTTAGTGAGGAAATAGTTAGTGAAAAGATTATTAATGTAAAAATTATTAGTGAGGGAATTAAGGAAAAATGTATTTGTTTTGATGACAGTGGAAGAGATAGTTAGTGATGGAATTGTTAAATTATTTTTATATAAAATAAAAAATTCTAAATCAAATATAATTTTTTTTTTTACGAATAAATAAGACTTACCAAACAAGCCATAGGTGAGGTAGCCTTACTAGCAATCCAATCCCTTCTCTGAGTCAGTCAAACAAACATGCCCTAACGTTTGTTTGAGAAATTGTTATTTTAGTTGGTTTTTTTTTTTTTGACTAAGTAAAAAAAAAAAAAGTAAATAGAAGAGAAATAATCTTTGACCTTTTTAATTATTTTAGCCAATTGTCAAACATCTCCTAAGTATGCAAAATGTAATATTAATTTGTCAAACTAAATTGATTAATGCAGTTCAAATATTTTCATAATTTTATATTTAAGTTTCAACAAAATCAAAATTATCAAATACTTATGTAATCCCTAAAATATATTCTTTGTTGCTTATCGATTCTCAAAGTATATATTTTGTCACATTTTAGTCGCTTACCACAATAGTTAAGTGCAGTCAAGTCCTATCGAAGATGCTTGTCCAATGTGTTTACATTTGTGGTATGCATGTTTCAATACATTAATGTTGTGTTTGGTTAGAAAATTTAGAAAGAGATTTAGAAAGGAAAAAGAAAAGTGTGTATGAAATTAAGTAAAATATAAGTATATTTTATTCATATTTCACCTATTTTTTTCTTTTCTCTTTTCAAATCTCTCAATCAAATACAGTCTCATCAGTACGATAATTTTTTTGGCCAAATAATACTTGTCATTTTTTGGCCATATTATACTTGTCGTTGCTGTAAAAAAAAAAAAATTTGGTGTCAATTTGGTCACTATAATTTCAATTATTTATATCAAGTTTACCTTTTAATTTTTCATATTATGTCAATTTATCTGATTGATAATATTTGTTGAAATTGGACAGAAATTAAGAACAAAATAATTCATTTAAAAAGAAATGAACCATTTCAAATTAGACGCGTCTCCAACCCTTCAATCACATAATCAATTACATCCCACATTTTTTTATAATTTTTTTTTAATTTTATTTCAACTGTGCAGTAAAGTAATCTCTCCTTAAAAATTTAGCACGTGAAAGTATTTCTGAATCCTCAGACTAAAATAGTACGAATTAAAATTAAAAAAATTTATTTTTAAAAATTCTGTATGTATTGCCTAAATCAAGTCGTCGGCGTGCTACATTGATTGACCGCAACTTAGATTAACTCGTGTTTCAATCGGTCAGAGTCCACTCTCTCTTTCTCATCTCTCAATAACTCATCTTTGATCATCTTCTAGTGTTACTGGTATATTCTTTCACATATTTAGGCTCCCAAATATCAAAGATATGTCTGGTTCAAGTGCTGATGCAATTTCAAGCGTTGTGATTGAATCTGAGTACTCGTGCCAAGACATGTCTGGTTTAAGTGCTGATTATGCAATTTACTCATGCCAAGATATGTCTGGTTTAAGTGCTGATGATGCAATTTCAAGCGTTGTTATTGAATTTGAGTACTCATGCCGTTGCTTTTCACTAGCTGAGATACAATCAATTACCAACAATTTTAATGAAGAATTAGTTATTGGGATGGGCGGATTTGGTAAGGTATACAAGGGGTTCATCGACAACGGGGCTACAGCTGTTGCCATAAAGAGGTTGAAAGCAGAGTCCAATCAAGGCGCACAGGAGTTCTGGAATGAGGTCAAGATGTTGTCTAAGCTCCGGCACACTCATCTTGTTTCTCTGATCGGCCAATGCAACGACTGCCAAGAAATGATCCTTGTTTACGAATATATGGCTCGTGGGACCCTAGCCGATCATCTCTATAAAACAAGTAGAAACCAAACTAAAATTAGTACTTTTCATCTAACATGGGAGCGAAGGCTCAACATTTGCATCGGTGCAGCACGAGGGTTAGACTACCTTCATACCGGTACCGATCAAAGTTTCATACACCGAGATGTGAAGACCACAAACATTCTGTTGGATGAGAATTGCGTAGCCAAGATTTCAGATTTTGGGCTGTCCAAAGGCAGTACAAGCAATTCAGCAACCCATGTTAGCACAAAAGTCAAAGGTACATTTGGGTATTTTGATCCAGTTTATTTCTATACCCAGAGACTAACCAAGAAATCTGATGTGTATGCCTTCGGTGTGGTGTTGTTGGAAGTTCTCTGCGGGAGGCCGCCGGTGGATACAAGACTCGAGGAGGAGGAAATTAGTTTAATCCTTTGGGCTCAACGACACATTAAAAAGGGAAAGGTTGATCGAATCATTGATCCCTCATTGATTGGGCAAATAACACCACAAAGTCTAAAGTACTTTGTAGAAGTTGCCTACAATTGTTTACATACTGGTTCAAAGGAAAGGCCGACAATGGCTGAAGTGGTGGGGACTCTTGATCTTGCATTGTTGTCACAACGTAAAGGACAATCAAGGGGAATAATCGGAAAGGTGCTTCAGGGTATTGCAACTGTGCCTAAAGGTATGAATCATTGGTGGTGGGAGAGAAAGGAGAATGGTTTTAAGAGTGGACCATCAAATGATTCATTTTGGGAACCACTTCCAGATAGTGTCACCCGACAACTCCGTCGCTTCTCACTGGCTGATATTCGAGCAGCCACAAATGATTTCAGTGAGGATCGTTTGATCGGAAAAGGTTGTCTTTGCAAGGTGTACAAAGGGTATTTGGATGGGGAAACTGGTATTGTTGCGATCAAAAGGTTCAAGGAGTTGAAATCATTGCAACTCTGGGAAGAAGCTAGGGTTGAGATTGAGGTACACTCTCTACTCGACAGTCACCCCCACATAGTCTCTCTAATTGGATTCTACAATGAGAAACCAGAGTTAATCGGCGTGTATGATTACATGACAAATGGATCCTTGGAAGATCATTTATTCAACATAAACAGCGATCCACCTTTGTGGAAAGAGCGACTCAAGATTTGCATTGGTGTAGCAAGAGGACTACAACATCTCCATTCGAGTGTGAAGCATAGAGTTATCCACTGCAACGTAAAGCCAGCCAATATTCTGTTGGACGAGAATTGGGTTGCAAAAGTGACTGATTTTGCAATCTCTAAACTAATACCCAATGACGTTGCATATGAATCAATTACAGTTTCAAGGATTTGTGGCACTTATGGATATATGGCACCAGAGTACGCCATACATGGAAAATTGACAACAAAATCTGACGTATATTCATTTGGTATGGTGCTGTTGGAATTATTGTGTGCCAAGAAGTTACGTACTTTTAGCCTGTATGAAGGTGACGAGTGCCCCCTTGACCATTGGTCCAAAAGTAGCTGCAAAAGAGGAACCATTGATCAAGTCATTGATCCATATCTGATTGGGAAAATAGCACCAGAATGCTTCAAGGAGTTTGTCAAGATTGCATTGAGTTGTATTCTTTTTCAGGTAATCCAACGACCCTCGATGGATGATGTGGTAACGAGTCTCCAGTTAGCATTGCAATTGCAGGAGACTTGGGAGACTTGTATCGAGATTGGTGTTGAGTTATCTATGACCGAACCTAGTTCTTACAACGTCTTCTCTATTGATGAACTGAGCAACAACGTCTTCTCTATTGATGAACCGAGCAACATCGTCTTCTCAATTGATGAACTGAGCCATTCGGATACTTATGATGTTCTAACTTTAAATAACGTCTTCTGTATTGATGAACTGAGCCATTCGGATACTGATGATGTTCCAACTTTAAATTCTGATGTATGATGGAGTGGATCAATGTTTGACTCGGATTTTGATGAGTTAACCCGTTAGCAAAGAGTCTATGCATCTCTGTAAGAGAGCTTGAATTTGGTTCTTTTCACTTGTGTATGTCTCTGCTTCTTATGTGTTTAGGGTGTATTTTAGATTTGTTAAGTTTGTTTATATTAGTGGATTTATGTTGGTCAATTTTTTCACACTTGAATGTTTTGATGAGCTAAAAATGTCAGCATCAGTGGCACTGATAAACTGATAATCATTAAAGAGAAGAAACAACCATAATTTTATGGACATCATATTTTATCCCAAAAAAAATATAAAAAACAAAATTTAACAATGTGTCAATAGAATCTACCTACAAAATTTTTTAAACTATACACACTCCTGAAAGATACATACAGTATGCATTAAAAATTTCTGTCATAATGATTTATAACTTCTACGAATTTGGATCATAACCAAAGCCAAAGTGATTCACTTCAAAAGCACCACAAAAACTTCATAACCAAGGCCATTATAGCTCATAATAAAACAGCCCAAAGCCTCGTAATCAAAATCACTTCAATTCACAACCAAATCCCACAAAGCCTCATAACCGAACACACCTTGAAAACCACATTTGCAATCAAGAATTAATCATACTTACAAAACTCTTAATCAATGCAATATAAATAAATAAAGTATAAGGTTTTTTTTTCCCCTATTTTTCATTATTCTTCATAATTTTTTCTACAAATTCAAAAGTCAAACACAACCTAAAAATACTTCCCAACAAAAAAAAACTTACTTTTTTTTCAAATAAAAAAAGGCATTATTATAGTAACTAAGGCCACAAGGTTGGTAAAAGTGTGATCCATCAGCATCTAGTGTGGCTTCCACTATCATCCTTTTAAAAAGTTTGAATTCTCCATTTCCATTATAAGTGCTTCATAATGGGAAGGAGCAAAGTAAAGCCACAGAAGCCATGGAAACAAGCCCTACCATTATACCTCTCCATCTCTACATTCTTCTACTCCTTTGCCTTCTTTGTCTTGATGTTTCTCTGTCTATGACCAGTGATGCAATTGTACAATCTCCATCTCTACTTTCTTCTACTCCTTTGCCTTCTTTGTCTTGATGTTTCTCTGTCTATGACAAGTGATGCAATAGTACAATGCAACGGATTGATAGCAGAATGTAATGTCGACTTGGAGATGGTGATGGAGTCAGAGGTAAGCCGAAGGTTTCTGGAGACGAAGAAGTACATATCACCAGTAGCTTTAAAGAGAAATCAACTAGTATGCAATGGTGGTGCAAGTGGTGAAGCTTACAGTAAGACTAGTGGTTGTCTTCCACCACACTCTAACCCTTATAGTAGAGGTTGCTCCACCATTTTTGCTCATAATAAAACAGCACAAAGCCTCGTAAACAAAATCACTTCAATTCCCAACCAAATCCCACAAAGCCTCATGACCAAACACACCTTGAAAACCACATTTGCAATCAAGAATTAATCATACTTACAAAACTCTTAATCAATGCAATATAAATAAATAAAGTATAAGGTTTTTTTTTCCCCTATTTTTCATTATTCTTCATAATTTTTTCTACAAATTCAAAAGTCAAACACAACCTAAAAATACTTCCCAACAAAAAAAAACTTACTTTTTTTTCAAATAAAAAAAGGCATTATTATAGTAACTAAAAAGTAAGGCCACAAGGTTGGTAAAAGTGTCATCCATCAGCATCTAGTGTGGCTTCCACTATCATCCTTTTAAAAAGTTTGAATTCTCCATTTCCATTATAAGTGCTTCATAATGGAAAGGAACAAAGTAAAGCCACAGAAGCCATAGAAACAAGCCCTACCATTATACCTCTCCATCTCTACTTTCTTCTGCTCCTTTGCCTTCTTTGTCCTGATGTTTCTCTGTCTATGACCAGTGATGCAATTGTACAATCTCCATCTCTACTTTCTTCTACTCCTTTGCCTTCTTTGTCTTGATGTTTCTTTGTCTATGACAAGTGATGCAATAGTACAATGCAACGGATCGATAGCAGAATGTAATGTCGACTTGGAGATGGTGATGGAGTCAGAGGTAAGCCAAAGGTTTCTGGAGACGAAGAAGTACATATCACCAGGAGCTTTAAAGAGAAATCAACTAGTATGCAATGGTGGTGCAAGTGGTGAAGCTTACAGTAAGACTAGTGGTTGTCTTCCACCACAATCTAACCCTTATAGTAGAGGTTGCTCCAAATATTATTGTTGTAGGGGTGATTCATGATCCACCAAGGTTGGCCTTGTGCATAAGCACACAAATCACTGCTAAAAGCCCCAATTTTTTACTCATAAATAGAATAAAATTATCCTTTTAATCCTCATTCAAATGAGGGTCTCTATTCAAGTCCAACATCAAAAGAGCCATTTTATTTACATTTAGCAAGAAAAGGGGCCAAAGAAGAGTTATAACATGCTGAAATAAGACCAAAAATGGGCTTAGGTTAAGCCAACACACGCTAGAATAACAAGTTAACTCATTAGACATGCAAGGCTAGTGAGCAAGATTACACTACAAGTGTAAAGAGCAAGCAACCAATGATCAAACAAGCCAAAAATAAAGTTATGACAGGTCTAAAAAGTCACAAAAACATGCTTGAACAAAGCCACAAAGAAGTAGAAACACATGCTCATTTAGTAGGCCATCAACACATGCAAGCAAGACAAGAGGAGAGGGGACCACCCCCTCCTATTTGGGACCTCAAAACCACATTTCCACCACTGAAATTCCTTTGGAATTTAGTGGTTAAAAGGCCAAAAAGAGATAGTTTGAATAGCCTTAAAAGGTGGTACAAAAGCTTAGCAAATAAGCAACCAAAGAGGGTAGACCACCCCTAACCTCAACAAGGACTCAAACCAACATTTTTAACACTAAAAAATAGAGCTTTTTGTAGTTAACAACCAAGCCTAAAACAACATGCAAAGGTGGCTAAGATATTATACAAAAATAAGCTTAAAAAGGGAATACGCTCAGCCTTGAAGCACAGCAGCAAGGCAGGCCTTCCTCTGAGCCAAAACCAGCTTTTTGAGCTCCAAACAAACCTTCAAAACCTCAGCTCCAAGGTAGTGGTGTTTGACTAGGTGTTCTAGTGCAAATATGTGAAGAAAACACACTTTTGAACACAATATAGGACAATAGAGAGAGAGAGAGTGTGAGAATTCTAAAGAGAGAGGGAGATTTTAGCTCAGAAATTTTGTGTACCTCAAACAAGGGAGAGGGACCTCCCCTTATATAGGCAATGCAAGCAAAAGCTTGCTTGACAAGCTAAAAGCTTGTCTCCATCCCTCCATACACTCGTTTGGAGGATAGTTTCAATGCCCAATAGCTGGCTCAAAAGATCTGAAAATATCTAAAAAAGGAGAAAAAGTGGCTGTTGGCCAGTTAAGGTGGCCGGCCGGCCACTTTCCCTAGCCGACCGGCCACTCCTAGTGGCCTACAAGAGAGAAAAGTGGCCAGCAAGGCCCTCTTCTCCCCAAGGCAAGAGGCAACAAGGTTTGGCCCAAAAACCAAGGCCAAAACACAAAGTGTTAAGAGGCTCAAAGACAGGGCACTCAGTCGAGACCTTCGAGCACTCGAAACAAGCACAAATATGCACAATCATCGCGTGCACAAACGATGATGTCAAAGTCTTAAGGCCGGTCAAAAATGGGGTGTCTACAGAACCATACGCTTCCACTTTGCCCTTTTGCATTAATACATAACCCAAACCTTCTCGAGATGCATCACAATAAATCGAATAAGCCAAACCCCTCTCCGGAATAATCAATACTAGAGCAATGTTGAGTCTAACCTTAAGCTCTTGAAATGAATTTTCACAAGTCTCACTCCACGCAAATTTAATTCCCTTCCTCGTCAGTCTAGTCAATGGTGAGCCAATCTAGAGAAGTCTTTCACAAAACGTCGGTAATACCCGACTAAGCCCAAGAAACTCTAGATCTCAAAGGCATTCTTAAGTTATTTCCAATCTTGCACTGCCTCTATCTTGGAAGAATCTACAGTCATCCCTTCTCCGGATATCACATGGCCTAAGAACATAACTTCTTTTAACCAGAAGTCGCACTTCCCAAACTTAGCATATAAATAGTGTGCTCTAAGCAACTAAAGTACAACCCACAAGTGTTCCTTGTGTTCCTCTTCAGAGGGTGAATGGATTAAGATGTCGTCAAAAAAAATAACCACGAAATGGTCTGGGAACTCACGGAAGATTTGATCCATCAACTCCATAAACAAAGCCATTGGTTAGCGCAAAAGGTATTATTAAGAACTCGTAATGGCCATATCGCAAACGGAATGCCGTTTTCTAAATATCCTTCTCCTTCCTCAACTGGTGATAACTCGATCTCAAGTTAATCTTAGAAGAACAACGCGACCCTTTTACTGGTCAAACAAATCATCTATACGTGGTAATGGGTACTTGTTCTTACTAGTTACCCGGTTCAACTTTTGGTAATCGATGCGCAGTTGCAATGTGCCATCCTTTTTCTTAGCAAAGAGAGTCAATTATCTCCAAGGCGATGTACTAGGGCAAATGAAGCCCTTATCTAGTAGTTCTTGGAGTTGAATCTTTCACTCTTACAAATTGGCAGGTGCAAATCTATACGGTGCGATGGAAATCGGTGCCGCGCCAAGCACTAAGTCAATGGAGAACTCAATCTCTTTGTGGGGTGGCAACCTAGTAAGATCTTTTGGAAGGATGTCTGGGTATTCACAAACTACCCTCGACTATTCAACTCTGACCACATCACTCTCATTACCCAAGAAAGTTGCAAGAAGGAAATTAAGCTCGCCCCAACCACGTGAGTTAGACATCAATGACAAAACTCTCTCAGCTCGGTCCCCTAGAAAATAAAAATAGTCACTACTCGAGGTGTACACCATAACTCTTTGACGGTAACAATTTACAATAGCACAGTACGAAGACAACCAATCCATACCTAAGATGACATCGAAACCTGACATGTCTAACAATATGAAAGTAAAAAAAAGTCGGCGACTGGCAACCTCTATCTCACAACCGCGACATCCTCGGTCTAAGACAACCTTACCCCCAACTAGTGACTCTACCTTGAGCAGAGATGCTAACTGAGCCACTTCTAACCCCAAAACTAATGCCAATGTAGATGAAATGAATGAATGAGATGTACCAGTATCAATCAACACATTGGCAATAGAGTTTAATAATAAAAAGTTATCTCTCACAACGGAAGGCGCTGGCAACTGATCTGGCATGGTAACATCATACACGCGTCTTGTGGGTCTCTGCTCTACATGCTCACCCCTCAAAGCATAGGTCTGATACACTGATTAAGCCAAAGAGGCTTCCTAATTGGCCCTCGAGGCTTATGCTGAATGGGTAGGTTGATGGCTTTGTGTCTGTCTCGAACCAGACACACCAAATGTGCCACCCACTTGAGGGCAAAACCTCTTCAAGTGCCCTAACTTCCCACATTGATAACAGGTAGGCAGCTACCCTCTCCCCTAACTCTAGCTTTGAGAATGAGCCGAAGACAGTGCAGACTGTTGCCCCCTCCTCTCTGCGAGCAAACTGAAGCCTTGTGGCCTAACTGACTACAGTTGAAACAAGTGATCCTACCCTAACTGCATATCCCTGAACTAGAACTCGATACAGGAAAAATGGATTTGAATTGTGCTGCCTAGGATTGCTACGGGGTGGAACCCTCTACCGTTTGTTGTGTCGTAGCTCCCTCTAACCTTCCTGACTCTTTTGCTTGGAGCCCCTCATCTGTTCCTTCTCAAATTGGATCATGGTTTCTAGGTAAACTGTCGTTGCCTCCACAAGGTGACCGTAATCCCTAATCATAGACCCAACCACCTTGAAAAGGAGCCTGGTCCTTAAGCTCTTCTCGAACTTGATGCAATTGCATTCCTCTTTCGTCACAAGTTTCAGTGCTAATCTAAAGAGGTTAGTAAAAACAGCCTCAAACTTAGCTATAGGTGTGTTCAGCTACTTGAGCTTCAAGAATTAATCTCTCAACTTTTTCTTAACTGTGGGAGGCAAAAACTTGTCTTGGAAGGCATTGACATAGGCTTCCCTAGTCACACCAATGCACTTTCACACATACTTCCACCATTGACCCGCAACTCTCTTCAGCTGGAAAGATGCCAAGGTCACCCTCAACCTGTCTTCCTCGATGCCAAGCATCTCAAACGTCTTCATTATCTGCTTAAACAACTTACCTGCCTTCAGTGGCTCTTTCAAATCGCCCAAAAACTCATTCGGATTCGATCGAAAGAACTTCATCTTTAGAAAGGACGACCCTGCCTCTATAACATAGGCCTGGACTTGACTCTCAGCCTTGAGAATGTCCAT